TCCCTGCACCGCTGCAGGGGCAGCTCAGCTGCTCCAGGGCAGCTGCTGAAGGGCTAATGTTGTTGGCTTAAGAAAAACAGGTCTGTTTTATTTAACACAGCGGGTTGTGAGCTGCTGCATTTCAGTAGCTGCCCATGCCACCGAGGGACCAGAGAGGGAAAGATGGCTAAAACCACGCAGAGGTAGAGCTGACTGTGAGCCACGGTCCCAGTAAAAACCCCTGTGTCCAGAAGTAAGGCTCAAGTTTTAACTAGACTCATTTGATCTACTCATGTTTTCACAATTAGGGCTTAAATGTAACTTTACTGTTTCGGGTAGTATTGCTTTTTTTTTTCAATTTATTTTGAAAAAAAAGTAGTAAAAAGGAACTTAGGTGGTCATGAACTACGTATGCTTTTGTAAGAAATGTTATTAATGGACAGAGCAACAATTTCCACCAAAACCATGATCCTCTGCCACCTCAACATCAACTGAAATAGTTTGCCCAATCACACCAGGTATAGCTAACCAGCTTAAGAGTCAATCTCTGTATTCTCTCAACCAATATTATTACACGTACAAACTCCGCTATTCTGTAAATATCAAAGGAGTCCATATTCTAGTAACACCAACTCTTTCCCCCTCCCCCTAAATATCACACACCCTATATGAAACAAAAGTTGAGAATATTACAAATCAAATGCATGATTTCCCACTAATCTCAGCGGGAGTTTATAAAGCCCATTAAATGCAGGATGGTTTCCCCAAGAAAAAAAAACATGCAAGATCCTATTTCTCAAGGTTAGTAGTCTGATAAGATCTTTGGGTTTTAACAATTTAAGGTTTGTTACAGCTGAAAGATTTTCCTTCTATGACTATATAGCTACAGTTTTATATTACTATTATTATATTATTATATTATATTATTATATAATATATATTATATTATTATATAATATATATTATATTATTATATTATTATATTATTTTATATATACACATTTACACATACTCACACACTTAAATATTTTATTCAACTATACATATATATTTTTACTGATATAAAACTCCGCTTATACTCTTTGTTCTAAAATAAGAATATTCACATAGGGAATTACTCCAGTACAGAAAAGGCAGTAAAATTATATAGTTACAGATTGTTCAATGTATCTCCAGGTATGAATAAACTCATTTCTATCTTTCTTATTCCCCTACTACTGAATTTAAACCATACTAGCATTTTAACGTGTACTCCAAGTATCCTAAAACCAAGCCACCAAGCCATTCTGGTGAGACCAGAAGAAAGCAAATGAACTCCTTTAAAAGGCTGAGGCTGCAGCAGCTCGGACTACAGCTAGTTTATCTCCACAAAACTCCCTCACCCTCACCAGCTGGGCCTGTTTAAACGAGCATTTTCCATGACAGATACACAAAGTTTATTTCACCCTCCCTTTCTTTTTTTTTTTCCCCCTGAAAGTAAATGGGGTGTTGCAACCAAACAGGAAGACCTTTTGCTCTGGTTAAAACCTAAGAAAATAATTTTCCATTTGGATTTGTCCCATTTTCTCCACAGCTCCTTTCCATGGAAAAAATGGTGAGATGGGATGGCTCCACAAAACTGAGCCTTAGTAATTCCTGTTAATTAAAATGGTTAAAAGACCCATAGTGGTGGCTGCTGTAAAGCTGCAGAGTTTAAAGAGAGGAAAAAAAAAAAAAGTCTTACAAACAAAGAAAGAATGACCTAAACAAATGACAAATAAACCTGATGAATTCTAATTATCTTCTAAGTTTAGTCATTTTTGCTTTTTTCCTACTGTTTGCTTACAATAGTAGAAATTTTCTCTATCTCTGTACTACACTGAAAGAACAAGCATTTGTCTCTTGAAGTCACAATTCCTGACAAAAAATGGGAAAGTATGAAGACTTTCAGAAGAATAACAATCATTAAGACGCAAAGGGAGGCAGCTTGTAACTATTTTGCAGTTGCCCTTTAAAGCAGAGAAGTATGGTCATGCAGTTAATTAAAACTAACCGAAAGTAAACATGACTTGTACAAAGCATTAAAATACAGACATTTTATAACATCTTCAGAAACTAAGTGAAACCTGTGGGTGGGAGCATTGCTCCAAGATGACAAAAATATTTAACATGATATCCCTTTATCCAAAATAATCGCACAGTAAAAATTGTCTTTAGAACACCTGTTCAAACATAAATTAGTAGAGAAATAAAATATAAACACAGGACAACTGACTGAAAAGTTATACTATACCAGAGTTTAGGTAACTGACAAAACTGCTGTCACAGCCAGCCCAAGCAAAGGGAGCTTGAACACACTGTTATTTACCAGATAGTACATTTAAACAGACTATTTCTGAAGCGCTGGTGTAAAAATACACATAGAGATTATAAAAGAGAACTGTATCCCTGCTGATTGAACTACACAACGCTGTCACTGATTCATGGTATGGAGCAAGGCCCTGTAACAATACATCGCCCTGCTACTCACACACACGTTGTAACACTCCATTTCCATGTTGCTTTAGTCATTTCTCATCATTCCATGATCTTTTAAATACATTTTTCACAACAGAAGTATAAAACTTCCTTAAACCTCCTCTTAAAAAAAAATAAAAAATAAAATGCCTGCATTACTTAAGCAGGTTGTAAAACCAAATCAAATCAAACAAAGCTGGCAGCTGCAGCAAGGTGGGACGGGCAAAGATACAACAGGGTTAAAAAAAGATCACAGTTGCTTTGTTAATACTGCTTTTACCAATTTTCTGTTCAGGTTTCTTGCTTGATAACATCCTCCTCCAGAAATATGCGTGATGCATCCATTACAAAACATTGGGAAGGCAAATAAGGACGTTCTGAAGCCACCACACAACCTGGTCTTTCCTCCCCAGAAATAACTCTACGTTTCTTGCCATCACACAATCCCAGAGCCATAGTCGTATCTTCACTTCCTCGCTTTCCTCTTCCCTTAACTCTAGACACCTGGTACGATCCCGTCATTTTTTCCTCAACAAGGTTTCTAAAACTCATCATTCGCTATCCAGACCTACACCTGAACTCACCTTCTACACACTAACATTGTTTTATTTTCTTTGCTTTCATTGTAATCTGGAATTTATCAACCCCCTTCCAATTTTACTAAATTTTGATCCCTCTTTCAGTATGCCACACCTTTCCTTGAAACCAAATTACTGATTTTAAGAAAGCGTCAGAATTTCAGTTAAAAATCCTTTAAAATACTGTCACTATATTGTACTTTATAGTTTCAGTATTTATTTCAATCACACAATTTCTCCAAACAAGTGAAATAACTTTTAAGACATCTGTCAAGTCAGTATCATTTGAGAGATACACAAATTACTAGTGATGCAGCTGTATAAATGTTTGTGATTTTTTTGAAACAAAACATGAGCAATTTTTACAATGCTGAACGCCACACTGTTGGTCCTTAAATCAGCTCCCACTGAAATCAATGTCAATTAGGAAAGGCTCTTTTTAACTGCTTTCTGCACGTCTTTTGTTTGTTCTGACATGTACTTAATGTCAGTCAGAAGTGCAGTCTGGAGCGCAAAACACGCAACAGAAATTTGCAGACAAAAGGTCTGAGAAGCGAATCAAGAAATGGAAACTTTTCTAAAAGAAGAGTTACATCATCGTCGTAGTAAGAAACCAAATGTAATTAATGAAAACTTTTTTCACCTTGAAAACTTAGACGCAGACAGACCCCTCTTCCTAAAGTTGCCTTTCGGGAGATTGTAACCACATGAAATCCTATTAGAAGGTGCTGAACTCCTACATTGTGACTCTTCCGGCAGGCTTCTACATAACAAAAATGCAATGAAGTGCCATACAACTTTTCCCCCCCTTATTATGCAAAATCCTTATCAAATTCAATAGTGTGACATCGTTCAAAATCCTGACTAACAATGGCACGCAGGAGGTCAAGAGATGTCGTCTTTGTTTTAGTTTCGCGTGCTTTTCAATCTATTAATGTTAAAAGAAAAAAAAAAGAACCTTCACAGAAATAACCGATAAAGATCAAACTTAACTAAACAATGGGAAGGAAATTCAGAGTTAAAACTGGTACTTAGCTCTTAAGGCAAACCATTGTGCCCGGGCACTGTGCAGAGGAATGATCCTGCGGGTCACACAATCCCCCAGGAATAACAAGGTGAGGTAAGAAGCCTTCAGCTCCCCAATTCCCATGCCTTTGTGGGTTTAAGTTCGGGCCAGGGATGTCGTTTTAAGGCGGTATTTGTTATTTCTTGGGAGGAACCAGCAGACAGGGCCCCCCCCCCCGACTCCTTTGTGCTGCGGGTTGCGAGTGGAATGCAGCATGCGGCACACGTTCCACTCGCAACCAGCAGGACAAAGGATTCAGTGATCGGGGAGGGGACAATTAGTCCCAATGGCCCCCCCCCCCGACTCCTTTGTGCTGCGGGTTGCGAGTGGAATGCAGCATGCGGCACACGTTCCACTCGCAACCAGCAGGACAAAGGATTCAGTGATCGGGGAGGGGACAATTAGTCCCAATTAGGCCTATTTCGCAGCTGAGTGTAAGGGCTGGGGGGAAGGGAGCTTAAATTTTAAAGCAATGGGTCCCTCGGGCGAGTTCAAGTGAGATCAGTGAAGTGACAAGTTTCAGAAAATGTTCCCTATGAGTCATCGTTGGGGCAAGTTTGCCCAAAGTCGGTGGCACCTCGCCTCCGGCAGCAAGTTATGGCCAGGAGATGGATGGGGCAGAGGTTCCCCCCAAGTCGGGTGGCACCTCGCCTCCGGCAGCAGGTTATGGTCAGGAGATGGATGGGGCAGAGGTTCTCATATGGCCAGGAGATGGATGGGGCAGAGGTTCTCAAAGGAAAGAAACTGGATAACCACTTTGCCTATCAGGCTAACGCGACAAGAACCAATTTTTCCAGTTTCCAACCCACTCCTCCCAGCAGCACTCTCAGTTCCGAGGCACAGGCAGGCACACACACCAATTGTGTGTCAGGAATACTCACATATGCACGTGCGGAGGCTGGAACCTGCTCTGGTTGATGTTGTAGTGCGTAAACGCCTGCGTGGGGTTGGAGCTGTATTCATCCACCGTTATGGTAACTTTGCCTTGTGAAGGAATTCCATGAGCCATCCTTTCCTCCTTATGGACATGAGCAGCTCACAGCTTGCCAAGGCCAGGAGCAGGGTAGGGCATTGTGTTCCAGGCACCTTCCGACTCCCAGCAGCTCCTCATCAACTCCACAGAGCTCTGCCAGGAGAGAGAGACAGCACACACCGCTATCAACTCAAAGGAGATGAAAACATACACAAATATATTACTCTAGCCTCTCCCCATTTCCCTTTAAAGGTCTTTTTTCTGTATTTTTGATGTACCCATCACCCAACTCTCTAAGCATTACTAGTCACATTTTTTCTTTAATTACCTCATCATTTAACTCCATCATCATTAAATACATCCAAAGGATGAATGCTTAAAGTAAGGTTTTATCTTCATGGGAACAACAAAAAAAAAAAATCTTTGTTGAAAGCTCCAGTTAATACTCCACATTTACCATTCTTTATTTTAAATAATATCTTGAGCTAATTGCAACCATGAAAATTAACAAGTGGACCCAGTTTTCCTGAAGGACAAATGGCTTTCCACAAATACACACACTTGTTTTCAAGGCTCCATTTTAGCTTTACAAAGTAAGTTACATCTGAGAAACTTACACGAAGCCAATGCAGAGCAGAAAGAAAATTTTACAACTGCGTGGCAAACGGTACACCCAAATATCTTGGAATCAAAGCATTTATCTGTCCCAAGAAAGCCTAGCATCCAGACAGCGTTTACAAAACATCCATGTTCTAGTGCACTAGCAATGAAACTGGTTTGGATTCCTCACCAGACAGTACGTAATGATTTATCTGACAGATTTAAGTGCGATTTTCTGCATAAATATTTCTGCATAAGATGAAAGAAATATGCTCTTCCCTCTCTAGGCATCCCTATCTTTCACTTCTTCAAAGTGCTCTTAAACATATTTTGCTTAAAGACTGGAAGCGTTCTATAATATGAGCGTAAGCCAAATGGCCAGAAACTTCCCAAACCTGTTCTCTGTTGAGTTCCCCGCACAGAATCTGAGCTTCAATTTCTTCAATCAATAAACTGAGGATACCTCAGCTGCCTTCCCTTCAGAGGGGCTTGGTGGGAATTGATCAGCTGATATTCGAGGAATATTTTCAAGATGAGCAACTCTTTAAAAGCCCTGTTTAGGAGGCAGAGCCTCAGCTGGGGCGCACAATCCTAGCTGCAAGGACCCCCGTGAAACCATGACACTCTGCATCAGTTGACACCCCCTCCCCTTTAGCTGCCACACACAATCGTGGGGTTTTTTTCATATCCGGTGTGGAATTTACAAAAGTAAATTGGTGCTTACTGGGAAGACAAAGAGATAGGAAAGAGAAGAGAATGAGTTGAGCCCTGAGCATCAAACTAAGCAGTACTTTTCCAGTGCGATTTTCCTGGACTTCTCTTAGCTCCCACAAAGAAATGTGTTTGCCATGTGTAATGCTAAACATTTGGAATCTTTGATTTGTATTCAAAATATATTTTTAATACAAAGACTAATTTCCAGTTTGGCATGAAGAACGATAAAAATGCCCTGCAAATGGCAGATGGCCTGCTATAGGCCATTTATTTTACTATTTTACAACCTCAGGCCTATGTAGGCTTCCATATGTTAGTTGGGTTAAGACATTCTGCAACGTTCATTCCAGTAATTGGGTTCTATCCTTCATCTTCTTTATCATTGGAGGCGGAGGGGGTGGGGGGAGAAAGATGAAACTAAACCATAAAGTTTCCATTTAAAAACTGAGGCACTAGTGAGACAGTACGTCTCTGTAACTAAGTTTACAGTCTGGTCTTGGCACTAATCCCCTCGTAACTATAAGCACAAGAGTTTCAGGGGTAGAAATCAGCGAGGTGAACTTAACTAAACCAAATCTTTGCTGTGTTAGAAGTGATGTAAGATGCATGCAACAACTGCTCACGAATCATAACGTAGCGGTCGCCATACCAAGTTTGCAGCTGTTTCCTTAATTTCCCTTACAATTATATTTTAGTGTTATTTTGCATAACAGTAAAACACAACACCTGCTTCAAATTGCAGTCCTGTTCCAAGTACTGTAATTCTTTTGAGATAGGAACTACGAAGAGCGTGCAACACAGAGCAGCATAATTGCCCTGCGCTGAAAAGTAAAGACAAATGAAAACATCTTCCTGTTAGAGAAATGACTGTCATTAACAAGAATTCTAGCCATCAAAACTCCCAAGAAAAAAAAACCCCAAGTTTTTCTTTTACCCAACAAGAACTTCAGTATCTGCATAAATTAAGAAGCAGTGTGAAAACTACATGTCTAATGTGATTTTTTTCATAATTAAAAGCTACAATACAGAACAACACGTTAAACCAACAACAAAAATATGCTTGGGCTTTCAGAAAAGCTAAATCACACAATTTTCAGTAATCTAGCATAAGAAAAGTCAGAACATTAAATTTCATATTATAGTTCACTCATGAAAAAAAATCCAATTTGTTCATGAGAGTGAATTATACATAAAGATAATAAGCATTTTTACAAGGTTTATAACAATCCATGTTACAGAAAGAAATTACAATTAACCATCATAAAACAAACGATGAGGATACTCAAATATCTGTATTAAATACTTTAAAGTTGACTTTCAATAAGATTATGAGTATATAAGCTGCAATTGCTTCCCATTGTTCCAATCTTTAATCTTAAGAATAAATCTCTATGCTTAAATTAAGGCAAAGCCGAAAAAGCATCCTTTTATAATGAAGTTAACAACAAAGCCTGGACTGGAAAAACAGTAAAATTTGAAGATGGCTTCTGTGTCAATTCTCCAATTTCCATTTAGTGCTCTGTAGAGTATTCCAGCTCACCTGCCAGAAGCATCTAGTTATTCCTTCTTTACTGTCAACTTCTGTAAAGAAGAATATCCAAAAGGAGCTGAACACTTCAAAACTTTAAAAACAAATTTATTTTAGGCCCAAGATTAAAAAAAAAAAAAATTAAATTGGCTACTTTGAATCACTACTGTTCTTCTTTCTCCAACGTTAAAAAAAAAAAAAAAGAATTAGCTACTTTGAATCACTACTGTTCTTCTTTCTCCAACTGCAATCACTCTTTACAAATTACATACAGGAGACGAGTACAAAAGAATAAAAGTTGCATTATTTTTCACATCTGTCAAGTAAAACTACGTGCAATATCTTCCATGCCTTATGTGGCAGTTTTGAGTAAGAATGATTACATTAAAAGCCTAAATGAGGAGTTTGTTTTTTGTTTTTTTTTCAGCATGTTACATTTTCCCAAATATAGCTGTTATCCTGGGAGCAACAAACCTTCTCCAGCGTGGATTTGTACCGGCAGCGAGAGAGACGATGTTCTATTGTATACATATGCTCAGTTTCACAGACACAAACCGGCACTTTTTCATCAAAGGGCTGACACAAACTTAGGCGCAGCTAATTAAAAATCGGTATACTACCGACCGTGTCAAAAAATTATCACCAAACACGCACAGATGAGTAATTTTTAAAAGCAACGTTACATTTCACGGAGAGGCACAGGGCTCTACGTATGTCCGCGCACTCACAGGCACGCGAAAAACGCCTTTCCCCCCAATAAAATATTTACGCCTTCCTCATCCGAATTTCAGAAATTCGCCTTCTGCCTGGCCTCGCCTCGTTAAAGAAAAATTTTGAAAGAGGGGAGGCAGAAAAGGGTTAATTCCGTGTCAACACCTTCTGTGGCTACATCTACTATCCCGACACTGTTACAGCAACACAACACGGTACACCCACCCCGGAGCGCGGGCACCGGGCCCCCCCGCACCGAGAGCCGGCGGCCCCCCCTCGGCACCCCCGGTGGGTCACCCCGCGCCCCGGGGGTCACCGGGCGACTGCCCTGACAGCCCCCCGCGATGCTGCGCTGCAGTTGGCGGCCAACTCCGCGCTCCGGCTTCCCCACCGAGTCCAAGGCGGAGGCAGCGGGGGGGAGCTACACCCCGACATTCCCCCCCCACCCCCGGGCTCCCCAGCCCCACACACCGACCGCCGGTACCTGGGCTCCCTGCCGCTCCCCACCTCCGCCGGCTCCCGGGCCGCCCCGGCCGCGGCCCCGCGGGGCGCCGGGCTCGCCCCCCCCCCTCCTCCCCCGGGGATTGATGGTTCTT